GTGCTTCAAACCGGGCGTAGAAGTCATTCAGCACATCTGGGAGGGAGGCGTCACTGTCACAAGCAGGTGATGTTGTCTTGTAGTTTGTGATCGCCTGGATGCCCTGCCACATGCGCCGAGTGTCTCCGCTATCCTGAAAGTGACCGTGGATTTTCTTGGCATGTGCGCGTTTTGCCTCTCTGATGGCTCGGGACAGTTCAGCCCTTGCTGTTCTTAAAGCCACCTTGTCCCTTGCTCTGAAGGCGGAGTCTCTGGAATTTAACAGCGCACGTACCTTTGCAGTCATCCACGGTTTCTGGTTGGAACGTGCAGTGATGGATTTGGAGATGGTCACGTCATCAATGCTGTACTCCTCCAAGTTAATAGAGTCACCGTTGGTTGCAGCCTCCCTGAACATATCCCACTCAGTGCACTCAAAACAGTCCTGAAGAGCAGAGATGGCTCCTTCTGGCCAGGTTTTTACCTGTTTCAGAACTGGTTTCGAGCATCTGATGAGTGGTCTGTATGCTGGAATTAGCATAACAGAGATGTGGTCTGAGTATCCGAGGTGGGGGCGGGGCTCCGCGCGGTACGCGCCGGGGATGTTTGTGTAAACAAGATCCAGCGTGTTTACCCCTCTCGTAGCAAAGTCCACATGTTGATGAAATTTAGGGAGCACTGTTTTGAGATTCACATGGTTGAAATCTCCGGCGATAATAAATCTGTCAGGGTGAGCATTCTGCAGGTCGCTAATAGCTCCATAGAGTTCACATAGCGCCTCCTTAGCATTAACGCTAGGCGGAATGTACACTCCGACAATGAAAACGGTGGTGAATTCCCGTGGCAAATAAAATGGTCTACACCTTACAGTCACAAACTCCACTATGAGCAGACGCTGGAAACCAGGACAGAGTTCTTGCACCATTCCGTGTTGATATAAACACACACACCACCACCACGAGTCTTACCGCACAGAGCAGCATTTCTGTCGGCTCGAAACGCGGCTAGCCCGTCTAGCTGGATGGCAGCGTCCGGAACTCTGTCGCTGAGCCACGTCTCTGTGAAAACAAGGACGCAGCAGTCTCTGAGCTCTCGCCGTGTAGTCCGCTGGAGTCGGATGTAGTCCAGTTTATTGTCCAGGGAGCAGACATTAGATAGAAAGATGGACGGGAGGGCCGGCCGGCTAGGGTTAGCATTTAGCCTGGTGCGGACACCCGCCCGCTTAC